TTAATACAGTTCAGTTCAATATTTACTCTCCTTATCAGTTCATGACTTTGCATAACTTTTTTTCTATGAATGTTCACAAATATTTCAGTCAAATTAACTTTTTTCATTTGGTAAACCTGACTCTTACGTTTTACAGTATATTGCTGTTTTTTCCTGGACTTAACTGCAACAAACTGAAGAAAAACATTTATTTACTGGCAACTGTGCTGCCAGTAAATAACTGTTTTTTTTTTTACAGTTTGTGGCCGTAAAATAATTAGTTTATTGCAGTTAAATTGCATTTCATGCTGTTTTTTCCATCGTACATCTTTAACCCTTTAAACCCCACAACAAAGTCCTCAGTTTTAAATGAACACTTATAATGTGTCCACACTACAGAGTGAAGCGGTGCTGAAGTTAATGAGATAATTCTGTGATTAATTAAGTGCTGATTGAGCATTAGTGATGAACAGCTGCTGTTAACAAGCAGAATCACTGAATGAAAGAGAAACACCAGAACTACAACTGACTTCAGCCACAGACTTAGATGAAATAAACTGAAATAAAAGACATTAAATCTCTCAAGATCTGATTAAACAACTCCTAAAACAGCATGACCAGCTTCACATTACTAACCAGACTGGTGCTATTTCTATCAGATGTGTACAGAAGTGCTTATTGAAAATTAACAGAGGTTTAGAGGTTGTTGTTTTCGGACACTACCATGATGGAGATCAGTGTTTGCTTTAGTTGGGATCTTGAACCTTGATTTTTTGACATTATCTTTAATTGGCTGCTTTAACCATTGTGGTTCTCAACACATTTGTTGTGGTAAAAAAAAGGCCAAAGCACGATATGTAATGGTGTTGGTTTTGATTTGCAAAATTCATTACCATCTTTGTAAAAACTGATTTTGTCCAGAGTCTCTTTTTGTACCAAAGCGATGTAATGGTAACATTAGAGCAGAAGAACAAGCAGGCTATTATGAAAGATCACACACATCACTCAAAAAAAAAAGCTCTAACACGCTGTGAAACACACACATGAAGAATCAACGTATGAATCTCAACAACGGTGACAATCCAAAAAATGAATAAACAGATCTGAATAAACAGATCGACTCTGAACATTACAAAACACGCTACTAAAACTCAACACAAACACAAAAGCAAAAATAAAAGCACCTAGTAAGAATTAAAGAAAATAATTGGACAATTCAGTGTAGTTTTAAAGGCTTTGAACATAAGCAGTTTTCAAAATCCATCATAATTGTCTATCATCTCAGCTTGCAGTGTCATATAGCTATCTTAAATAACATGAAACAAGTGAAAACCCACACTATATTTTTGAAGACCAGCTCCTGAACGAGATCAGTGAATCAGGCCACAAAATGATTACACCACCATCAATAAATAACCAGAACCATTTAATAATAATTTTTCTACACTTGTATTACTATAACAGATGTGCTTTACAAACACAGCTACAACAACCAGACAAGCTAACATTAAAAAGTGAAGGGTCAAGAGCCCAACTAAAGCAAACACTGATCGCCACGATGGTGAGGTCAAACAAAACGTTTTCAATAAAACATCTAAACCTCTGTTAATTCTCAAAGAAGTTTTGTAGATATATGACAGAAATAAAGTCAGACTGTTAATGCTGTTTGTGGAGTTGTGTAATCCTCCTCTGCTGTTTTATTTCAGTTGATTTCATTTAAGGCTGTGGCTGAAGTTAGTTGTAGTTTCATTTCTTGCTCTTTTCTTCAGTGATTCTGCTTGTTAACAGCAGCTGTTCATCATTGGCTGAATTCACTCATTAGTTTACATTCTCTCTGTCAGGTGGACTGTATTAGTAAACTCATGTAGGGAATAGTGAATGAGGGTGTAGGGTATGATTTCAGACACAGCCTCTGAGTGTCGAATCTGAACGCTGTTTATTCACAATATATAGCAGCAGGCTACTTTCTCGAAAACAACAAATATTACCCAGAATACTTTGTTTTTTTACGGGATTGTACTGTTGTAATGAAAAAACAGGATGTTACTGTCAGAATATAGCCGTTTTTTTCACAGCTATTTTTTATAGTGTTTGTCAAAAAAAGTCTTCTTTGTTGCCTTTTTCTCTATCACACTTTAGAAATCATCAGAAATTATATATCAATTGAAAGCTTTAAATCTCAAAATGCATCCTTTGAAAACCATTTTAAAACCAAACACTGCATTACCATGAAAATAGTACATCAATATCACGTTACAAAATGTTTTCGTTCATGAATTATAAAAATGTAAGTTTGGATAGTGCACTTTCACATCTATAACATAAAAATGTGAGTGACAGTTAAAGGGTTAACTGACAGCACTACTCTTCAGCACAATGGTAACCACTGTAAAAAAAAAAAAAAAAACAAATGCTAAAAAGACATGGATCAAGAGCCCAACTAAAACTAAACACTTATCTCTACAATAGTGACTTTCAAACTTTATTATTGTCAATAAAACAACATCTAAACCTCTGTTAATTCTTAATAAGAAGTTTTGTATGAATGAAATTAAGTCAGACTGGTTTGTAATAAGTGAAGATGCTGAGATCTAGAGAGATGTGTTGTTCTTTAATGTTCTGTTGGGATTTAATTGTTGTCTGAGTTTTGTGGGTTACCATCGTGCTGAAGAGTAGAGTCTGTGCTTCAGTCCAGGAGAAGACCAAGAAACCTTGATGTTATACTGCATGTCGCTTTATTTAATGCAGTGGCTGTATAATTGCTGATGCAGTGATAGTTGCATTAGCTTAAGCATGTGTGTTATTGCTAGCTAATGATTATTGACAAGCGATTTATATTTTACAAATAATGTTTCACAGTGATGTTTAGAAAAAACAAAAACTTTGTGCTGCCATGTATTTCATGTTTTTTTTTTTTTACAGCGTGGAAAATTATGTTTGTAATTTCAAATAAAATAAAAAAAAGATTATATCGAACTTAGTAATTTTACCTAACTGGAGAAATCAGGTTACATCTATTAACAGTTATGCTTCAGTAAAACTTGTTTTTTCAGGCTGGTTGAATTCAGTTCAAATGCAGTAATCTTAAATCATTTAATTTCAACAAAACCAGTTATTGTAGATGTTGCCACATAATGTACATTTTCAAAGTTGAACTGACTAAACATTATTTTCAGTGTAGATAAAGTTCTTCTCTAAGAAGAGTTTTTGAGTGTCAACTTCCACATTTACTGTACGCCACTAAATTCAGAGACAGCACAGACTGATGGGCATGAGAGAGCTGGAGCTGATGTGTGAATATCCTGCAGATTGAGGCTGTCTAGCGTGGCATCGCGTGGCCCCAGGATGACGCACTGTGTTGCCCACATAATTAAGCTTATTCACATAATGACAGTGGTTAGCTCGTCTCACAGTCATTTTCTCTGTAGTGGCGACTGATTTCTATCATCCACATTTCTGGGTTAAACATTTCTGTGAATAGACCAACAACACACACTCACACTCACACTTGCACACACACGCACACACCTGATTTACCTGATGTACTCATTCACATATTCACACAGCACAAGGATATACTAAATATATTGATATAGTTATATTGACTAATGTTGACTACAATATTGCTTTTATTTCATGAAAAGAATACATTATCACTCAAATGTTACTGAAGGCTGGAGGTTGGTTTTTCTCAGCAGATTATTCACTGATATTTGAATGCATTTATTGAAGTGGACAGTTTGTGTGGTCCACAGGAGGGAGCTGTGGTGGCCCTTCTGAAGATCTGCCGACAGGACTGCTTCAGTACTCTGTACGCACACGCGTTGAGGACCGTGGCCTCTATCTGCTGTGTTGAAGAGGGCATCAGCCAGCTGGAAAAGGTATCAGTTTCTCAGCATGCACATAAAAGGACCCAGATGTGTGCAGCAGAATCTGAGTGAGCTAAGAATGCAGTATCTCTTGTTTATTAAATACATTATCTTACTTTTTTTTTCTCACTGATGAGTGTTTTCAAGCCTTTAGGTTCATTTTCACAAATGCTAATTAGACAAAGCATTTCACATTACAACACTACGGTCTGTAAATATGGAAAGACTTTAACACCATTAAACACACCATCTGATGTATAAACAGACCTGGAGAGCTTTCTGGAGAAGTATATTAGTTTGCAGATGTATGACATATATTCTACTTATGAGTCTAAACACAGAAAAAGGAAGATAATAAACTGCTGCAGTACACAGAAGAGGTTGCTTTCCTAAAGATCTACCAGTTGTGACAGTAAGTGAAAGTAATGAAGTGATGCTGGTTTTCAATATCCAAAGATTCTGAGAGACGAGGTTTGTGCGCCACTGAAAGCTACATGTCACAAACACACAAGTTAATTTTTTTAAGGTTGAGCTTGCATTGATTTCATGAGGTTACTGTATAGTAATAGTATAGTAATATTAAAACTGTACAGACATATCAAAACTAATAATAAAAAAAGGCAGCAACTAAACAGTTTAAAAATATTTTAATGTGTGATGTGTTCCTCATGTTCTAGAGACACATTTCTACTGGCTTTTTATTAGCACATGAGAAAACACAACATTTTCTTTGCTGCCAAAGACCCAAAAATAATACAAAACATATATAACTAGAATATTTAACAGTTTAAAGTGAATTGCATTAAAATACATTTTTACTAAACTGTAATTTTGTGTTTGTCTTAAAAAATATAACATAATATAAACATATTTTGTGAATTGTGCTGACACATAACTGATATGGCCATGGTGAGTTATTCCTGCTTGCCTGTTCAATATATTAGTCATACTGTGGTTGTCATAGGCTATGTGTTATCTTCTGGTGAGTAGTGCATTTCATAGTTTGTGTAACAGCGCCACTGTGTGGTGAACAGCATTCTAAAACTGCACAGATTACCGTAAACCAGGGGTGGGCAAACTTGACCCCTCCAAGGCCACTTTCCTTCAGAGGTTAGCTCCAACCCTAATCAAACACACCTGAACCAGCTAATCATTGTCTTCGAGACTACTAGAAGGCTACAGGCAGGTGAGTCATATCAGGGTTGGATCAAATCTCTGCAGGTAAGTGGCCTGGAAGGGCCAAGTTTGCCCATCACTGCCGTAAACCCTATCACTCTCAGTTCAGAAACACCACGGGTTTGATTCAGTTTGACCTCTGAAGGGCTTCCTCAGGGAAAAATTAAATGACAATGTGCTCTCATATACTGCATAACGTTTGTTCATATACTGCTACATATTATATCGCTCTCATAAGCATGAGCAGTGATATACCTCCGTTCATTTTATAAGACTTCACAATGTGCTATTGTACAAGTTTCATACTACTTTATATGGATAAAATTTATTTCTATAGTCAACTTTAGACATTCTACTAACTATAAGTAACTTTGTAACTACATGTCAACTACATATGTAAAATAACTCAAATATACTGCTATGTAGTCTATAGATTTATTTAAGGCCTTATACACTACCATATAATAAGCTCTCATGTAATATTTAAGCTCTAATATATCTAGTTGGAGCGATGAATGGGGCTCACACATAGTTCAGGCAAACCACTGCGTGACAGCCAGCATCAGCTGACGCTCAGTTGATCGTAACTTTTCCCACTACAATTAAATAAGATATATAAGTTCATCCATACTCACACTTGCCATAGTCTGTCGCACAGACATGCGTTTTTATGTTTACCCTCCTCCATCCCCAACTCCTCCTTATGCAGATACATAATGTCTTAACTGCTCACCCACAGAAATATATAATCTATCCAGCTCACCGTTGCTCAGTCTGTCCAAATTATTTTCAGTACTGTATAGCTCTGCATGGAATATATAATTGTTGCATATTAAAATATCTGGCAATTGTTTAGGCTTCAGGGGGTTCAAACCTCAGCGAGGTTTGCTTGTGGATAGCTCAGAATCTGAACCCTTCAGAGTGAAGCCTGCCACCAAAAAATAATGATTTTATCAAAAATGTTAATACTTTTTAATACAATAATTTTAATCAAACAGAGTGGTCCTGACTGAAATATAGTTATTACAATGTCTAAAGTGGACTAGAAAAGAAGTGTCACAAGACCAATCCATCAGTCATAACCATACAACTGTAAAATAGCCACATGCGTAAATCAAAGCTAATCGGGCGGTTGAATCCAAACGTACAGTTAGATGTGTTCATCTGGTGTTTGACTCAGGTGGATGGGATCCTGTGTCTGGCAGACATCTTAACGGACAGCACATGTGCAGAGGCGACCCGAGCGGAGGCTGCAGCAGTGATGGCTCAGATCACCTCCCCCCATCACACCTCCACACAACACCTCGCCAGCTTCCTGGAGAGCATGCAAGACATCGTCACAGCCCTCATCGGTGAGTTCAAGCAGTGTTTGATGTTTACACACATGCACAAGTTCAGCAAATGCAATGCCTGATAAACCAGGGGTAGACAACTCCGCTCCTGGTGGGCTGCGTTAAACACCTGCCCGTTATTTTCAAGTAATCCAGGGGTGTATTCCAGAAAGCAAGGTTAACTTACCATCTGCTAAACCCTAATCTCTTGGTTGATTAACCCAAACCTTGCTTCCTCGAGATATGCTGGTTCCAAAAACGCATCCGGGAGTAAGTTCATTCAACCCAGAGTATGTTCCTGGTTAACACACAAGACATTCTCAACAGAGCGACGAGTCGACGAGTCACTATGGAAAAGTGCCCCATGCTGCTTCTTTCTTCCTCTTTTGTTCAATAGTCATTTACATGCTTAGTGCATATCGCCCCCTTTTGATGGTTGTACAATCATTTGTCATATTTTTTTCGTTTAATCTTTTAATCACTGAGAATAAGAACTATATTGTTTGATGCTAATTATAAAATAAGAAATATCACATATGTATTTATTATTAATATTATTATGCATTTATTTATTATAGAAATACTGTATATATGTCAGACTTGTGTTCCTGTTTTGGTTGTGTTTTTCTCCCCATGTGCTTCCTGTGACCCAGTTTCTCCCTCTCGTTTTGATTAGTCATTTGGTTCAGTTGTGTCCCATTAATTACCCTCGTTTGTCTATGTATTTAAGCCCCAGTCTGTTCAGTCTTTGGTTGTCCGGCCACCGTTCTGTTATGCTGTGTTTTCCCTCACCATTCTGCCCGTGTTCTAAATTTGTTCATTAAACAAAGTGAGTTTGAATTGCACCTCCTGTCTTCGCCTTCCTTCCTGCATTACCGAGACAGATGACCGGACCAAATAATGCAAACTGGGCTGAGGACCAGTTGTACTGCCTGTGGCAGGGTGGTCGGCCTTTGGAGAGGTATGTGGAGGAATTCCTCGAGCTGTCTTACCGGTTGAGCTGGCATGACGCTGCACTCTGTGCTTGTTTTCAGTTGGGTCTGGATGAGGAAATGATCTGTTGTGATCTTCCTCTGAGTGATTTTCCCTTGGTCGAGTTGATTAATCTCATCCTTAATTTGAATGGTTCTACTTTTGAGGTAGAAGAAGTTAAGAAGAATGAGAATCATCCTCATCCAGCGCCCTCTGAAACACACCTTGCCTCTCAAGCTCATCCCACGGTGGGACCCTACACATGCCTAACCAATGGTTCCGATCACCCATTTCCTCCTGTGTTTCCCCACGCTCAAAAATTGACTTCTAACAGCGTTAGAAAAAATCTACATCCCTTCTGCTGTCTCCAGTTCCAAGAGCCTTTCCAGTCCTCAGCCCAGAAACGCCGGCTGCTCCACAGTCAAGTTTACCGGCCACTCCAATGTCAAGCCTGACGGCCGCGAGAGATGACTCTAGCCCCTGACCAGAGTCGTGAGAGGGCTCTAGCCGCTGACCCGAGTCGAGTGAGCTTTCCAGAGTCCGCTCCAGAATGCTCTACAGAGCTCAACAGGGAGCCCACTCACGCCACAGAGCTCAACAGGGAGCCCACTCACGTCACAGAGCTCAACAGGGAGCCCACTCACATCCCAGAGCTCAACTGGGAGCCCACTCAATTCACAGAGCTCAACAAGGCATCCTTCGTCTCCTAAGTCTCCTTCGCCTCCACTGGTCCCATCCAGCTCTCCTCCGTCTCTGCTGGTCCTGTCCAGCCCTCCTTCGTCTCTGCTGGTCCCGTCCAGCCCTCCTTCGTCTCCTTCACCTCTGCTGGTCCTGTCCAGCTCTCCTTCGTCTCCGCTGGTCCCGTCCAGCCCTCCTTCGTCTCCGCTGATCCCGTCCAGCCCTCCTTTGTCTTCTGAGTCTCCTTCATCTCCACTGGTCCTGTCCATCCCTCCTTCGGCTCCTGTTCCCACATCCAGCCCAGAGAGGGCTGTTGTTCCCACGTCTGGGCCAGGGAGGGCCTCAGATCCTGAGTCTAGCCCAGGGAGGGCTCCTGTTCCCACGTCCAGCCCAGGGAGGGCCTTAGATCCCGAGTCAAGCCCAGGGAGGGCTCCTGTTCCCACGTCCATCCCAGAGCGGGCTGTTGTTCCCACGTCTGGCCCAAGGAGGGCCTCAGATCCCGAGTCTAGCCCAGAGAGGGCTCCTGTTCCCAAGCCCAGCCCAGCCCAGAGAGGGCTGCGGTTCCCACGTATGGCCCAGGGAGGGACACAGATCCCGAGTCTAGCCCAAGGAGGGCTCCTGTTTTCACGTCCAGCCCAAAGAGGGCTCCTGCCCTCACGTCAAGCCCTGAGAAGACTGCAGTTTCCACGTCCAGCCCCAAGAGGGCTTGTGTCCCCAAGTCCAGGCACCGTGACAATATTACAGAAAATACAGATCCATGACAATAAAATATAAGTATATTAGAATAAAATAAGCATTACCTTGTTATAATAGTGTTTTATAATTAAAATATATTGCTAACTCTTATATATGACAATAGAATAAATAGCATAACATATTAAAATAATATAATATTACCTTATATAGTATTTGTAATAGCACTTATAATTAACACATCATACAACTATATAATATAGGCCATATTGTATATTTGATAACTATATTGTAATAATATATCATATTGTGCGCAATCTGTCACACCCACTGGAGTCTCGCTAGTAGTTGACGCATGCGCTGATAATGCTGAAGTGAATTAACCCTGAAACATAACCTACTCCGGAGCAGGTTATGTTCAGAGAATACATTGCTATGGCAACTTATATACCCTGAAAGTTATCTCAGTTTTTGGAACGGAGTTTATCCGCTTACTTACCCTTAAACATACCCAGGTATGTCGCATAACCTGCTTTCTGGAATACCCCCCTGATGTTTTGCCTGGCTATACTTCAATTTTTTTTCCGCGCTGTGTTTACTATTTTTATAAAGTCCCACACTCACCTGCGCCGCGTGTCAATATTAGTAGTTGCGATGATACTACCTTTTCTAGTGTCTTTGACAGAAAAGGGAGATTCGAGATCGGTCTGTAATTAATTAATTTGTTGGGGTCTAGTTGTGTTTTTTTAACCACATTGAAGCATCAACGTTTTAAAAGCAGTACAGGAAAATCTGCTTACATTTGTATTTTATACTAGGATTATTCTTAGGTTGCAGATGGGATGGCAACACTTTTTCTTGGGGTGGCAGTTGCCTAACCTGGTAGACCCAACCCGGTATGGAGGATTTCTGAGATAGGGGCCCTGGGTGAATGGTCACCAATGGTAAAGCCTGAACCATTCAGCCAAATAGTCACCGTAC